CTGAACATCTGTGGTTTCTAGTAACTCTTTCGGATGCAAGTAAGCTAACAAACACAATGCTGGAACAATCTGCCATGGACGGGCTAGAGCAGAGAGGTTTGGAAACTATGCCTTAGCTACCAGTAAGGAATGGAGAAGTAATTTTCTGTCCTTTTGGTGTCCTCTCTGCCTTCTCCTCTCTGAAGAATTTGGGCATCGTGCCAACCAATTCAAAGCAAAGCAAAGGTAAGCAATAGCAAGACAAAACAGAAGACAGAATTGAACAAGAATGGGAGCTGCAAAAGCCAAAGGGATTACAGATTAATATAGGCTGTTCACTCACATCCCTACTCAATCACAATTCTAGCCTAGCACACCTACCTATTTTATTGAGCATTGCTGTGCTGATATGAAAAAGGAAACAGGATTTGGCAAGTCATTATCTTTACAGGTGTTTAAGAAAGTACCTTAAAGGCAATCCAGTAGCATTAAATTGTACACTGGTACACTGAAAGTGACATGCTGATTGCTAGCACCAGTGACAGGAGGACCCCTTGGCTTTGATCCCTCTTCATTCATATACACTAGAACTTGTGCTTGTTAAACAAACATACTTTTCTAAAACACTGAAACAAGCCAGTCTCTTAGCAAAGAAACTACACAATATGAAGTTCTGTACCCTTCTGCCTAGCGCAATTACATTTTAAAAACATGTATCTTACCCAACTGTGTTGTATGCTTTAAGGAGAACTTTGCTATTTTTATAGTCAAAAAGAAAAAATCCCCTTCATGGGCCAAGCATGTTTACTGAGTAGTCTTAATATTTAAATGGAATATTACAAAGCTCTACACACAACTAGGTGTGGCATCAAACCTAGCAACACTTTCCTTAAAGCTCGAGAATGCAGTTCTGTGCGAGTCATTCACCCTCAGAAAACTGCCATGAAGTAGCTCATACCAAGCTTCTGCGTTTAGCTTAAATTAAACATGAAAGATTACCTGAATAAAGTTTGCCTTACAAAGAGACACAGAAGAAAAGTATTTTCTAATGCTACTACTTAGTTTAACTGGCAAATTTAATAACTAGTTATTTCCTGGCATATTTTAGAGATCTCCATGTGCTACACACTTTGAAGATACACAAGTCAACTCCTACATGCAACTTGCAGCAAACATGAATGAGATTTACTAAGCACACAACTGTGACTGTGATCCTCAGTTTATCTTAGCCACCAGTAGCACTGTAAGTGCAAACGCACTGTAAAAGTTGTCAAGGAGAATCCAAGCTATTTAAAACTGAAGAGGACTGTTTTCAGCATGATAGAGCAAACAAGTCACTGAAGTCAACAAGAATTAGCTTATCAAGCTCAGGTTAGAAAGTAAAACCTTACTGAAACTAACCAGAACTCACAAGCACTTTATTAATTTAGACAACCAAGTGTTAAGTGCTTTATATTCGTGATAAAACATGTACTACTGTTACTGATAAACAATCAAGACTAATTATTACCTTTCCCCCATGCCTGCAGGTTATAACATAACAGACATGTGCAAAGAGGTGCAAACATCAGATTTGCATAAAACAGTACCGGAAGAAAATGCGCAGTGGTACTTGCCCACAACACTCAGCCTCCAACCATAACTTACAGGCTTCCAGAAACATTGGTTGTTTTCTTGGTTTTATTCTTCTCGAAGTTTGTTCAAATGCCTTTTTGAACCCACCTACAAACTTAAACCCACCTACAAACTTACACATCCCAGCTTACTTCGTATTAATCTTCATATGGGGAAAAAAAAACGAAAAAAAGGAAAATACTTGAAATGTTTCACCTTCCAGTTTTACTATTAGGAGGAAACTGAAACAATCGTTCATTAACCAACTTCTGTACCACTTCTAAGGTATCCTTTAGAGACTTCCATCTTACACCCATCTCTTCAACACACACCCGCTTACTCTATTTCAGAACAAGAGCTCTGATCTACTCAGGGATGCCGCACAGCAAAACTTTTTTATACTTTTAATACGTAGAAAATGATGAGAACAGATAATGAGAAAGCATAAGAAGGGAGGAAAGAACAACACAGAAGACTACAGTATGCATAGTGGAAGCACACAATGGATTTTTACACTGGAAGCATTATTTTTCTGCCATCAATTAAGAAATAGTAAACAAAGATTAGATTTCTCTTTTTGACTCTATACTGAGCTTGAATCTGTAAAAATATTCAAAAAGAGCCTCAAGTTCTACTGCTACACAGGAATAATCTGTTCAATTCAGAACATATTTCATATGCAACACTAGGATTGTTATGTTTTTATTGTTGCTTGGAATTTCTGCCTGCATATTTATTTTATGCAAATAAGGGTAGATAGCAATAAGTTCACCGCTAATACTTTTGTCCAACTGATCCAGAAATTCACCTCTGGATTACAGGTTGAGAGACTACTGACCTTCTCCAACCTGCTGCAAAACTCACTGCAATCAAACTCTCTCCTTTCAGTGGCTTATTATCTGTAGGCTGTGTAGGCACAGGACCCAAGGTCATTGAAATCACGCTTTCAGACGTGGGCCCAAATTTCCACAAGAAACCCAATATGATTTATTCTGCATCCATGACATCCAGCCATTCAGGACAATGTCCCACTTTAATCCACCCTTCTTTGACCACTCAAACTTGCTTTTTGTTTATAGCTTCCTGTGCACGGAAAAGCCTCAGCTGAGAGCAGAAGCACCACAGCTGGACTCACACTGAAGTCATCACTTCAAGGCAAGCTTTGACCAAAAAGGAGAGCCCTCTTGCATTGTTTTCTCAGGTGCAACAGGGACGACAGAAAAAGGGAAAAAAACAGTAGCTGGAAATACAAACCTAACAGCTCATCAGTTAAGATATGACAGACCAATCTTGCCTCCAATATGAAGTCTGAGATTTCAAAGCACTAGTTGCACAGGGAGGAACAAAAGCTAAGTGATCACTAGACCATTGTTCCCCCATGTTGTTCTCATAAGTTCTGTTTCCTTGTTTGAGGATAAGCTAACTCTGTTGTTCATCATCCCCAAAAAACAGAAAATTTTATTTCAGGACCATTTTAGTCATTACAATCAAATCAAATTTTCTCCTCTTCCCTCTTCACATTTGAGAAATATTTTAAACTCATTCAGAAGTTCAGCTAAAGACTCAGAGCTTTGCCAAAGTTTAATTTTGACCCCACAGCTTAATGCTGAAAGCCATGCAATTCATAAAGAATCTGAAGTTGTGCAATTTTGTTTAAAGACTGACTCCATTTGACATTGAGCAAGTATCTTTTCCACACAGTAGCAGAATAATAAAAATAAATATAACTTAGTGAATTGAAGCAAAGAAAGTGAAAACACTTCACCCCCACCAGAATGTAATATACAACAAAATCTGTATTTCCCCCATCTTCTGCTATAAGTTACCATTTTATCTTCTCAAAAGAATTAATTTCCGGCAACTACTTCTGCTAACTCAACACACTAAAGTTTGCAAAGCTGACAAGATACCAAGACAATTTGTTATCCTGGGGGAGGTAACATCTCCTTTATTTCAGTTATTAAGGTTGTTCTACTACAAGTCAGATCTTTGACAAGTCAGTAACATTTAAAAGCCTGACAGACATGCTGTTTAGAAATTCTTTTGTTTTCTACATTTCATGAAAATCCTTTGTTTATTGTACCTTTTTCTAAACTAAAGTTGACAGTCATATAGAAAGTGACTATTACAAGTATTCAGAAGTACATCACATATTTCCTGGAACAGGGATAAAGGTTCTACCTTACTAGTGGTTATTCTGACTCTACTGGGCTACTCAGAGGCAAGGAAAGTCCATCCAATAATCAGTGTCTAGGATAGCTTAGAATAAGCAAATAAAAGTCCTCTAAGCACAATTATGAGCATTAGTAATACAAAAAATAGCTGCACATGAAGCACATGCCTCTACTTTAAAGAACAAACTCCAACTTGCTTATTCACTACCTGCATGAAGTTCTGACCATTTTAGCATTACCTGACACACCGCCTATCTTCATCATGCATTTGCTCCTCTACCACCAATAGCCATTCAAAATACAGACTGCTCCTGGCACCTTTGAATAGCTGCTGTGTATGACTTGGAGTCGGACTTGGTCCCCCACCAAAGCAACATCCAATGTCTTCCTGTGGCTGCTGAGGAATACTGTGTATCCTACTGGGAGATCCATAGGGGACACATGCTAGAGGAGCAAATGAGCACAGAGGACAGCGAGCAAAGTCTACACACATGTGTTTAGAAACCACACACACAGAGAAAAGTTCTAACTAAGAGGGTATATAGGTCTTCGGGAAAAAGAATGGCAAAGAGTTTCGCTAAAACTAAGCTTCCAGGGAGCTCAAGCAACTCTAATACCAGAAATTACTCTAAACTACTTTTTAACATTTCCAATAGCATTCAAACACTGTTGTCTAACAGTTATAAAACTCCGATGTGTCAGATGCTTCTTTGTCTCCCTGTTACCTTGCTGAAATTAAACTGGCAGGTTAGTATTTAAGGTAATGAAATGCCTAATAATGAGAAAACTGAGTAGAGTGATTCTCTTAATCTTCCATGTTTTTATATGGATACGTCCAGGTTTTATTTGCTTTCTTTCGAAATCTGAACTGTTTTCCTTGCTATTCCAAGACTAATTTTGAAGGCAGATTTCAAACTCTTGTCTTCGTTGGGATGCACAGACAGTTTAGAAACATAAATAGAAGCCAATCAAAACTAAACATCACCCACATTTTGTAAAAAGCAGAAATGAATACGCAATAATTTGTGCATTCCTCTGTACATTAAGAGAACAAGTTTCCACAAATTAGAAAGAAATCCCAGTGTCTAGACAAGGCCCAAAGTTTAAAATTCATTACAAGAAATTTATTCTAGCAGAAGCACCAAAAAAAAAATGTAGTAGCGATACCTAACTCATCATCCCAAGTTAAGAAACAGGTCTCACAACCAAATACACAATGGCAGTCAGACTTACCTTCCCTCATTGATTTTTGCTTTGTCTCCTTGACAAGAGAAGTTCTCAATGTAACCCAGACTGCAGTTGATTCGTGCCCAGTCGGGCTGGCACACAGCGAGGAAGTGAGGACGCAGTCTACCTATGGAGTACTTGGCAATGTCTGTCAACGACTGGCTAGCAGCTGCTCCAAAAATGAAGGTCCCGATGGCTTTGTAAATAGTGGCTATGTAGTTATTTCTGACAAATGAATTTGAGTGCAAATGATTATAAAAGACAGAGAGAGTCTCTCCTAGGATTATCTGAAAGAGAAATAAGGACAACAGTTAGAGAAAGATAATAGCTTAAAAAGAAAGAAAGATACTACTCTACTGTTGTTAATATTCAGACATGTAGTTTCATAAACTAATTTTCATAAACATTAAGCTGCAAGTTCAAATTTTCCAAGAGTCAGCAGTAACCATGTCCAAATTTGAAACACTTATGTGGAAGAAAAAAACCTTTTACCTTACCTTGCTTCATGCTGAACTTAATCTTATTGATTTTCAGGGTATTTATTAAAACAAAACCTTCTCAGAGTAACATTTATCCATATTACTTGGCATAGCACTAACTAGAAAAATTTTCTCCAGTATTACATTTTATTCTACATCAAGTCTTCTTCAGCTAAACTTCTGCTGAGCAAAAGTTTTCTACTACTTCATATAGTTGTTGCGGTTTTTTGTGAAGCCAGAGACTATTCTGAAGGTCTAGACTTCAATTCCGGATGCAAAGGGGCAGTTATTAAAACAAAGAAATTTCCTATTCCTCAGGAAAATTCAGTCTTTAGGGGAGAAAACTAATGTGAGCAGAGAAAGGCATTGCTGAGGTCTTTCCACCCTGCATGTCCAAGGTATATGCCTCAAGTGTTGAAAGGAGAGCAAATTTAATTTTGTTTTCCTGCAACTCTGTCTTTTGCAGAAAGTAAATTTTTCTATAGACTAAGCACAAAACTTCACCCCAGACAGGCTGGATATTGAAGCAGATGCTCCCATTTTGTACAGAAATGCTCAACTCATACAGATGATCAGATGGTCAGGGGACTCAATGTATATATGTAGAGTGATCTTTAAAAATCCTGTAAAGATTAAACGAAAGCTGTCTGTCACTTGAGAGCACAAGTCTGGATCCCAGCAAAGCAGAGCTTCAGTGAATGAAGCTGTTATTAAACACTGACACCCAGGCAGACAAAGTAGCTGTCAGCAGCTCTGCACATCAAGGCAAAGAGACAATCCCATCAGATGCGTGATGCTGAAGTTTTACACTCTGCACCATAACGAAACATGGACTGAAGCAGAGCAACAGCAGAACATCGACTAAAGCTGAGGAAGTTTTCAGTAAAGTAGATGTTGGTAAGCTCTTACATGGAATCTACCTATCCCAGAGAGTAACCTCTTAATGAGGATAGCTGAGGAGAAATATCACAGACATGACTGCTAAATAATGAATCTCTTAAAAACCACTGCTGCAAAACTTGCAAGAAGGTCACTTATCTCAGTTGAAGTGACAAAAAAATTAGGTGATGTCAATGCAGCTACTTCACTGGAAATAGACATCAAACAGTATTCATCTTCAATAATCTGACTGAGCACTGAGTAAAGCACACCAACATTTGCTTTTACCGCCTGACTTTAAAGCAATCTTGACAGGAAAGCCTGATTTCACAACTGAAAGACAGTCCTTGATATTACAAAGGTAAACTCTGTTAGCTAAATGTTCGTACAAGCTCATATGGAGACTGGATAAATTCAAAGGAAATACATCCACTAAAAATTACTATATTCACTGAAGCCTTTTCTGACTCGGGACGTCCCTGAGCTGCAAATGGCTGGTAGCGAAAGTACTGAGGGCAAGACATGAACCTTTGCTTCTCTGTTCTGTTCTTCCTCACTCATCTGTTTTAACCACTGCTAGAAATGAGGTGACAAGCTAGATGGACTTCAGTTACGACCAAGTACTGCTGCTCTTAAGTAATACTGACCACCAATGGTAGCAACAGTGTGGGGGAAAAAAAAAAAGTCCTGTCTTAAAAGGCAGGATCTTTTAGCATAAACCACTTGCTGGTTAAGAGAACAGACAAAAACAAAACAGGTTTTATCTGCTCCAGAGATATTTCCATAAGTTTTTGAAGCCATTTTTCCAAGAAAAGGAAAACTAGGTAAGTCAATTTTGATTCCCAGCCCCGCATTTCTACAGTTACGAAAAAAAATTCTGCTCCAGAGCAAACATAAACTACAAGTTGACCTTTATGTTGGAACCTAGATAAAAATCCAAGCAGTCCTTATGCAAGAAAGTTCTATTGCCATAATATCCCTTGATTTTAACCCATTAGCCCAGAGAAACAGCTGGCCAATACTGAGGTTTACACTTAGCTGCTCCTTTTCCAGCTTTGATTCCTAAAATATACTTGGATAAATATTTATACACCTAAAAAACTTATTTGGCATAAAAGAGTTTTAACTTTGCTCAACATATAGCTCTGATGAGCTTGGATGTCACCCAACACAGAGCCATGAGTGGAGTCTGAAGATCTTTAGCACATCTGGACAGGAATCTTGAAGCCCCTGTTGAAGGGTCACCGTTGGAACTAAAGTGCAGTCCCATGAGACTAAGCACATGAACTGGTGAACTAATGAGGTCCATTTCTCCCCTCTGCCCATGCCTCCACCACTTTTTGCCCCAGCACTGATACTATATTCTTTCAGGAGCCATTTCACTCAACCCAGATCAAAGCAAGCTGCTGTTTTCTGCTAGGTCAAGGAATTTCACTAGCTTATCCTAGTTCAGACAAGCCACCAGAAGTGGCAAAAGACAGGGACCTCACCTTTTGTCCACAGTAAGCTATTAGCTTAGCTCACCAGACAGCATGTAACTAAACCTTAAGGATACAGAGTCACCATATGCTTGAGCCAGTTCAGCTGAGCTAAGAGCTGTGGTCAGAGCGATCCCAAACCGGCAGTTGCAGAGGCAATCTCTCCAACTCACTGATCTGGTGTGAAGAGGAGGGAAGGAGAACAGTACCCCGTTTTCATCCAGGTTAGGTGCAGCATGACAGGGAGCCCCAGCATTAAGTAAAAGGCAAATGGGCCCACTGTTTTATCCTCACCTTCAGGGAAATACCCAGGTAACAACTCCCTGGCTACTTCCTTTTTTTTCTAGTTATACTTTTGATAAGTTCTGATTGGAAGCCATAATATTTTTCTGTTAAAGAACTTCATATATGTTGTTACACTCTCATGCACAGAAGTATTTCCAATGACTCTGTGGCAGATAAAAATGCTGACTTTATAGGTCATGCAAGCTCACATTCTGCAAGTAGTAGCTACCAAAATAGAAAAGCTTGAGCCAGTAATTTCAAATACATTAGTGTTATTCTTAACTTATATAGTAAGGGAGGAAGTTATCACCTCTCAGACTACAGAATTAAGCCACCATAGTTCTAAGGTATTCCTTTTCTGTTCTATAATCCTAGTTGCTTGACCTCAATTAAAGAAAACCTTTTAGTGATTCTTGCCAGAACACCATTTCTACTGCTTTAGCACCTGGTCCAAGGACATTATTTTGAAGTCCAGAAATCATATAGAACACAATTCTACAAGACTATATTAACAGATCGCCCCTCCTCCCTCTTCCCCACCCCCACTGAAATCAAACACAATGAAGAAAAGTTTAACTTACAACAATTATACTGAAAGGAACAATTATTCCTGCTAACAACTTATAAGAAATGGTGTCCTCTTTGTATGGATATCGGATGGATTCATCACTACAGAAAACTCCTCTCTGGAAGGGAATACGTCTTGAATTGAGAATTGCAAAAGGCAAGCCAGCTAGCAAAAAGGAATAAAAAATACATTACAAAAGCAACACAAACTCTGGTGATTACTATAACCCCGCATTTCCAAAGAGAGGTGCATAAAGAGGAATGGGCATGCAGCAAGTTAGAAGGTTATGCACTTCCTTTGGCCAATGACTACTGCCTTGTCTTTGCAGCTTCCAGGAAGGACAGTTGAATGAAGGAGAGCAGAACAGGATTCCTCTCACCTTCGCATTTGTGGCATATCAAGTATGGAAGGATGCCAAAACCATGAGTAAATAGTTCAGGGACAACCACAGAGTTGCTCAATTTGTTGCTACTGCCACAATTACCAGCTATTCCTTTATATTCCAGTGAGCAACAGTTGCCCGTTTATACCTTCTCTGGACAGCTTTACAGGTCAGAAGAGCATAATTTCATTTCATGAAAGCAGAAAAGGAGTGCTTCTCAGGGAGTGCAAGTGCAGAAGGATTTTTGAGGAAGAGATATGGAAAAAAGGAAAAATTACACATGCATGCGATCCTCACATTTCCACACATACTGGATAGTTCCCTGGAACTATGTGGTCACTTCACAAGCCCTACAACCTCAGGGCATGGAGATTTTATTGCCCTCTCTTCCACAGATGAGGAAGCCTTTGGCTCCTCCTAAACTCAACAGAATACGAGATTAAGGCACACAATGCTTTGTGCTATTATGCCTCAGAAGACCTGCAACACTAACCAAATCTAGTCATTTGAAGAGCAAAGTTTAAAAAAAACCAAAAAATCTCAAAATACGATACAAGTTACTACAAACTAACAGAATTGCATTTTTAAACCCTGATCCCCCATCCTTGACACACACGCAGCTTCTGCACGATCTGTTTGCACACAGGGATGAACAACCTCAGAAAGAAAGGGTTGCATGGAAAAAAGAAGTGGGGGACTACCAAGAATGTTCAACAAAACAACAAATAATCTTCTTTAACTTAGGGATGTACAGCCCAGTGGCACTGAAGTGCTTAAAAAAGCCCTTGATTTTGCGCTCAAAATTCAGCAGCATTGCACACAAAATGCACGCTAATTTAGAGTTAAGACAACAAAAGTCATCTGGAAGGAGACACTCGTAATCTATGAGTCAGGGATCAGAAAGGATGAAAACCAGCCTCCTTCCTTCCTGCCAGAGAAAGATGTTGCTGTAGTCTCAGCGCTCTCCTCAGGACCTCTGTGCCAAGGCATCACCCACCTCTTCCCTTCCATATACACAGCTACGCCCAAATAAGTGTGTACAGAAGTAAACATGGAAAGAACAGGAGAAAGAACGATAAAAAAAAGGATACCAACCAAGCAGTAAAAGAATTGTTAGGGTAGAGAAAGTTACACAGTCAGGATTTGCAAGAAGAGGAAAAAAAATAAAGAAAAATACCTAGGATCCTTGTCAACCCACTTCCCTCTTTAACCTCCACCCACGGGGTCCTCCAAACCAATGATTTGCTATTGATTTTCTTCTTCACACCATGGAGTGACTGCTTAAAAGAATGCTTCAGTTTGAAAACAGACACAGAAGAACAAACAACAAACTAATGGCTCATAAGATGAAAACTTCCTTGATGTGACCTCTGATGAATGACACACCGCTTTGTTCCATGACCAAGCAGCTACGCACTTATCATGGTGCCTGTGTATGCCCGCTAAGCCCATCACAAAGAATAAAGTACCTTGTATGCTGTTACAGTCATACAATCAACAACATGCAAAACTTCCCCTCTAAAACAGGCAGAAAAAAAACACTGCCATTGCGCAGATGGGTTGTTTCCACTTCCACACCAGCAGGACTACAACTGACCTACATCTGGAAGCTGTCCAAGCACACCAGCAAAGCAGAAGCAGGACAGTAGCACAGGCTAAGAGCCAAGCCAGAGCCTCGCCAAAACACTGAACCATTCAGACACCAGCCAGCACAGAGCCCTGCAACTGGACTCAACACTACAGTGCAAAAACATAGCCTCTCCTACCAGGAAAAGAAATCTCTCTCCCTTTCTCCCAACAGTAAGAATAGCAGGGTTTTGAAAAATGCTGCAGCCCAGACCTCCTTTCTGCCCTTCCCTTGTGTTGGTATTGTGACAGCAAGTCACAATATATCATCAGTTGTTTGGTATTTAGGTAACTTGTGCAATGGAGGAGGCAGAAGCAGAGTGCAGTCACGGTGCAGGAAGGCAACTTGTCAACATGATGCTGTGGTGCATTTTCAAAACCATTTATTCTGTAAAATATCTATGGAATGAAAACTTCATCCTTTGTCCTGCATGCACACTAACGCCATGACAGAAGACTATATTTGCAAAAAGTGTATTTTTTAGATCTCCAGTATTGGAGAACAAGACATACACAAGTAAGTGTCTGTTGATGATTTACAGGTTTACTTCTTCAGAGTAGCCAGTTTTAATTATCACAGTAAAGCAGTTGCTCACAAAATTAAGTTCAGCCTAATAAAACCTTATCACAGCTTCAGCACACTGCCACAAATAGTTGCTACTCGTTAGATGGTGCCACTGACATCATACCACCAGCTCTGCATAACCCTTTTTAAAGGTCTGCTCTATGAATAATGGTGTCATGGTGGCTTACTCCTCGTTTCCTCCTACCTATACCTGAATGTTTCAGCTTCTCAAGGTGGGAGACTGAAAATTTTCAGAGTGCAGGGGTTTTTCCGGTTGTTTTGGGGGAACTTTTTAATGTAACTACCTGCTACTAAATCAGAAATGGAAAGCAGTGGTATGTGGATCACGTAAATGAAACCCCTCATGCAGTGACAACATGTGTTTTTCCATGCAAAGAGAAGCTGCTTGAAATGTGTGTTCCCTTTTCAGCAATACTGAGATTATGACATAACTAGTCTGTAATTGCTTGCAGCACCTTTCTATATCAAGATCATACAAACAAAATACCAAACAACTCAATTTGTTTTTGTTTTGCTTTTTATGCAAGAACCAGCTAAAATAAGTTATTAAAATGCCTTCTCTTTCATAATTTCTTACCACATCTTTTACTTTATCTGAAGCATATCCCACCCTGCTAATCAAGAAAAGAAAACTTTATAGTTTCCTGAAGTCATAACCAGTAAAATTTAGGTAAGACAGCATGAGTCTTAAAGTTCTAGGTATCTACCTGGTTTGAAGTAACAATTGGAAAAGCTATGCATTGAAATACAGAACTGCTAAAAAAGCTTATATGGTAAACTTCATCAAGTGTTTCTTCAGTTTCCCCCAACTGTGTAACAGATTTAGAAAGCAATTCCACCAGTCATTTCTCTTATTGCTGTTCAGCACATTTCAGTCCTGAAGAGAGGTGCTCCATGAAAGCTTGAGATAAAAGTTTTAATTTCTAAAAACCAGATTACAGTAAAATCAGATTGACTTAACACTGTTAAACTGAAAACTAAAGTCACAGAACCATATTCATAATTTACCTTTGGCTCAATCCAAGGCAGCTATTAGCCTGAAAAACCACACCAGTACTGGCTTTTGATGTCTTTTTGGTTACAGTACTCTCCAATGTCAACACCTACCCCTTAGAATACACTCCATGTAGCAGGTCTAATTTACTTATTTTAAATGCACATGGACTGGTTTCACTGTTAACTGGTAGGGGTGGGGAGAAGAGTAGAAGTCAAACCAGAGGGACAGCAACTCCTACTGTTTCTGGCAAGTGAAGCCACTAAGAAAACTTCTCACAATACTTAAGGGTTTTATTCTGTTTTAAATGCATCAGCAAAGTCTGGTTTTCTGGGATTTTAAGCTTTTTTTAAAAAAAAGTTTTCTAAAGTCAAATCAAAGTTCTTTCAAATATGTAGCTTAAGTACTTTCTGCAGTGAAAGTCTCTCTCCCTCAAAGACAAAGCAGACACAGGGAAAAATACAGTTTGGCTATTTCATTAGCACAAGCAGGACAAGCAAGCAGAAGAACTGGCAGAAGTGATGAAAGAGGCAAAGCCTCTTACTATAGCAAGTACAACAGTAGGGTTTCTCTATAGTTGTGATAGAGAAGTTACTTTTTCACCCTGAGAGATATCATAATTCCAGAAGACAGGAATAAAGTTTTTGCATTACAGTAGCCTTTTTCTAGGTACGAAACCTCCTGACACAGGAAGGCTGCTCATCTGCCATACTCACAGTAAGTTAAAAGAAAAGCCCTGCTTTTCCTACAAATATCCATTTTCCCCTAAACACACTACAATTTCCAAGGGCAGAGTTTTGCACATTAAAGAGAAGAATTAGTAAAAACTAGCTGGGCACAGTTTTACATGAAAGTAGAAGAAACCGGTGAGTTTAAGCATTCCTTTTAAGTAAGGAGTGGAGATGGCAGAGGGTCATTAAAGGCTCTCTACTGAATACTTCCCATATGACAATACCAAAAAGCATCCCTGATGTCTACTTCATTTTCCAAGTCAATTGTAACACAGTGAAGAAATTGCCAAAACGGAAGATGGCAAGTATGTTAAGAGGAATTATAAGGTTGGGAAGAGGTTACCAGTAGGGAATCTCAAGGATAAAGCCAACAAGCTAGTGTTATGCAGTGCATATGCCAGCATCATTAACCAATAACTAGCAGATGTACTGCTGACAGAGCTGGCAACCCTTTGACACAGTGGAAGATCAAGGCCAGCCAGTTCTGCCTGCAAAACAACTCAAAGACTGAAGCAAGAGAAGAGATGGAGATCTGTGCAGTAATGAGTTCAGAGTCACGCACCAGGAGGTTAAACAACTCTAGACGAGCTGTGAGCTTGTCAGTTCAAAATACAAGGGGAAAATAATGTCTGCTTCCTATGGTTGTTGTACATCAATATAACAGTGTGACCATTAGACAAGTCTTTTCAAAGGCATTAACACTTCTAGCCACCCAACAAGAACTTACTCTGAAAGAGCATTCAAGCAGAATTTTCAAACGTGTTTTGTTTCAATTAATCTGTCTTAAATGCAGATGGAGAAAGACATACTGCTAAGGTACATTTCTCATTATCTCAAAAACTAGAAAAGC